ATAAAACTGGGGCTCTTAGTCGATAAGCAAATTCTACAATTGGGTCCCAAGGCTTATATACATTTTACCTACATGGGATTGCTTGGAGCCCTAAACCCTACACCGTAAACCGCATGGAGGTCTAGGGGCATACTTGTTGTAAAAAGCCCAGCACTACGGTTCTTCGGCCGTAGGTAGCCAGTGTTTGGTGGTCCGTGGGGTCCTTATATACTAGAGATTATAATAAGGTTGGCCCCAGCCAGGGTTCCTGAGTGGGTACACTGCGGCCTACGGGTTTAGGGCTTAAGGTTCGAGGTGGGGGTTTTGGTTTGAGGGTTGAGATGGCATAGTCGTATACACGCTGCCAAGATGCCGTAATCATGGCACAGAAAAGCACAAACCTCCTGATCGTACTTTTCAAGAATGGTGTCTGTTTGTAATAAAGACTGCCCGGATCCTGCTTCTAGGGACCTCGCAAAAAAACGCACAAAAGCTGATGTGAGTGCATTTCTATAGGAGGACACTTGACTCGACGCTTGCCAAACGACACCACATTCCACGAAGGCGCATGACGAGGACATGATAAGAGACGCAATTCATCGTCGTTCTTTGCCGACAGCTTCGGCACGCGGAGGCCACCAACATGTGACCGATCTCTTCGCTACCAATTGCTCATGGGACCGCGACACTTCCCGACGCTCGCGTGACGCTTGCAGCGCAGACGCGGATGAGGCGAAATCAGGTCCACTCTGGAGTTGCCTTTCGCTAGTAGGGAATGCAGGACTGGAGAAGAGAATAGAAAGTATCAGATGAAAACGGAAGTTTGTAGAAGGGGTTACTTGGCTGCTATTCTTATTCTTACTATAATTACCATTATCATTACGGGTTACCGTAGGGATCCATTCCTGCATTTTCACCAACACTTGCGAACACCACGCACAGCTCGCTTCAAACCAGAGAACCAGAGACCTGACACTGCTGCGTGCTCTCGGAATTACATAATCTGGCTTTGGCTAGCTGGGAATGGAATTCCTTCATTCCCAGCTAACCGCAAATGGGGTTATATAGGGTTTCGGGCTTAGGGTTTGGAAGGAGTGGAACAGAACATGGAAACTACTATAACGGGTTATATTTGATTTCAGGATCCGTTCCTTCATTCCTAGCTAGCCAAAGGCCAGTGATATAAGGACCGGTAGCTTCCCTAAACTGGTTTGCTGTTATCCCCCCATAACGGAGAATCAAATGGAAAACAAAATTGAAAATGACATGGAAACTGGGGGGAATAGAGGGATTTGAGGAACTTGATTTAAGTTACTATACTGGGGAAATCGTACTAATTACTATATATACCCATTATGGTAGCTTAGCTTAAGTTCCTCAACAGCAGCCCAGTAAATAACGACCATAAGTAAAGGGATAACATACATTCCTAGCATCATACTACTACTACTACTACAACAACTGCTACTGCTACTGCTACTGCTACTGCTACTGCTACTGCTACTGCTACTGCTACTGCTACTGCTACTGCTACTCCTCCTCCTCCTGCTGCTGCTGCTACTACTACTACTACTGCTACTACTACTACTACTACTGCTACTACTACTACTACTACTACCAAAGGGAGAGGTGGCCACTTGAGAAAGTGCCTGGTAGTTTCCCTAAACAGGGGGACCCCAATATAAACCCCAAAACACCATAATCCTCATCATGGGGACCCCGAAGAAGGTACCCGCAATGTTGGGACTTAAGCCCTGAACCCTAAAGCCTAAGCTCCCCCATATGAGCCATAGTCTAAACACCTAGTATCCCCCTAAATAACCCCGATAGTAGTCCCTAAATAATTCCCTATATAACCCCCTGTCAGTCCCTTTCAGGGAGTTTAGACTGTAGCTCATATTTGCACTGAGCCCCTACACTAACTAGGCGACCCAGGCTGGAGTTTCGCGGCCTGGTCCCTGCGCGAGGCGTTCAGGAATGCAACTGACAGACTAACAGACCCTCAACTGGATTGCTGTTCAGGAACTTAATCAAGTCACCATAAACATGAGTATGCTGTCGATAATAGCCTTTCCTTATTGTATTACCTTAGCTTTATTTTCCTGAACAGACCCTCAAATCTTGAGCCCTGAGCCTGGCACTGGCCCCAGCACAGCCAATGGCATAAGGCACGCTGCTGGAGCGAGTTGGCCCTGCCGCTGGGGAATGCAAGTAGAACTTGCAGGTCAGAACGTTGCATGTTTTGTGCGTACTTGTTAAGGTCTATAGTCCCCCTTAAGTAGATAGAACATGGGGTATATGGGGTTCTTATGAAAATATACCCAAAGACATATTCTATCTACTTAAGGGGGACTATAGGGTTAATACTTGAGATGTGAGGACTGGGGTTGGTGATGGCGGTTCGGCCTTTGGGCCCCCTTAAGGATCATGTCCGGATTTATACTGATTATGTTGAGAAGATCCCAAAACCTACCTTCTACACTGGGAGCCCCTCAATCGTAAGCCGCATCCTGGCTAACACCGGCTCAGGCGGTTCTCGCATCAGATTGAGGTTTTGGCTCTGCATCTTGTGAGGCTTATGCTTATACAGGTTAAGATTTAGGGTTTGGGGCTTTCTGCAGTATAGTGTGAAAACAGAGGGGGAATGCAATGAGATTGACGAAATGAACTGTGCCTAGCGGCTAACATTTGCGCTGCCGAAGTGATCCCGACGAAGTCCAAAGAAGAGTTGGAGCAACACCCTTGAAGGCTTCATTGGGAGCGCAGCGCTGCGAAGCATCCAAAATGAATTAACAAATGAGGCACAAGAGGAGAAGAAAGCTGCTCATCCCAAAGTACCCGAAGCCACCTCAAGGGGGTTCAGGACAATGCATCACCATCAGTCCTCATCCCGGTTTATCCCCCCAGGTCTTCTCACACGCAATGCTGTGGGCTAAGTCCGCAACAGGAAAAAAATGGAAGGAATGAACTCTCAATTCTCGACGTCAGAGAATCGCACACGCTGACTTCTTTTTTGATCGGTGGAAGCGTCAAAGCTTCTCGCTCAGAGATGTCTCTTGTCAGCTGCTACAGGGGATGTCTCGCACTTTGCCTTAATTTGCAAACCCGATATTGTGCACGGATGCTTGATTTCCGCTTGAGCGCTAGCCTAAACCTGCCGAAAGCTACGAAACTCCTGTGCCAATGACGCTACAACATATCAGAACTACAATACAATCCTTGCATGCTGTTGCTGCTCTGCTGATAAGGCAGCAACTCCTGACACGTGCAAAGATATTGGTGCTGTAAGCCCCGGGGTTTGCGTCACTATGCGCGATTGGTGTTCGACGCCACTTGCCGCGGATCATCTTGTCGCGAATATGCGCGACGTGACCTAAACTGGGTTGCTGTTACGCAACTTAAAGTAAGTTCCTGCAACCAGGATGCCATCTTTATTTACGATGTACCCAAATTCTAGTACCTTATCTAAGCTCCTCAACAGCATCCCAGATTACTGTTGCCCGCCGGAATTCCCAGCTGCTGTTGTAGGCCATCCCCAATAGTAGGGTTTTAGGGCCCAAATACTATAGTATCCGCAGCAAGAGCTGCAGCCATTAAGGCGCCTTGCTGGCGTGCGTTCTTGCCCCACCCCGCACTTTGTTTGTGAGTGTAGGGGCGGCTAACGGGTGGTCACAAGTAATAAGGTCGTTCAGCATGACCATTAATAAGGTCGTCCAGCATGACCAAGTAATAAGGTCTCTTGCAGGTTATGACGACCAAGATGACGCGTGCTGCGTTTCTTCGTGGAAGGTTGCCGGGACTCAAGAAGCTTGTGGCTGCAGGGCCTGGTGGCGGACCATTCCTGGGGGCTGCTGGGAACTGGGGGGGCTGCCTGGACTGTGGGGTGGCTTGGCGAAGGGTTATGTCACAGAGGTTGCTTAGTGGTGGCTGGCCTTAGGTTGGTCTGGGGGCGGCACAAAAGGTGTGGCAGCTACAGAAGCATGCAATTGTAAGGGAAGGCTGGGCGCCTAACGGTCGGTGTGGTGGCTCAAGCCCGACGGCCTGGTCATCAAGTTCAGAGGGACCTGCAGCGAGGAACACTCCATCCCTGGCGTGTTGGAGTGGGGGGAGTGCAGTAAGAGCTGCAGCCCTTAAGCCGCCTTGCCAGCGTGCGTTCTTACCCCACCCGGCACGCTGTTTGTGAGTGTAGGGGCGGCTAACGGGTGGGCACAAATAATAAGGTCGTTCAGCATGACCAAGTAAAAGGGTCTCTTGCAGTATTCATGGTATTTGGGCCCGACAACCGTACTGTTTCCTTGGACCCTTAGGGTTGTTGCTGGGGCACATCCAGAAACAATGCCACGTAGTGGCCCAGTCGTTGCCGCAAAAGCGGCATGAGTGTTTTCGATGGCTTCAACTGAGGCCGCTAGCCGCACAGTTCTAGTCTAGAGCGCCTTTGACAGGCAACCCTCCAAGAGACATGGCCCTTCAACCTCTGTCTAGGCATCCTGCAAATGTTTACACTTGGGACAGGAAAGGTGCGAGATCCTTCTTGCTTTTTCCCTTTGGACACCCGGGTTTTCCAATACATGTCACATCTTGAGCTTGCATAGGGCTTACATTTCTCCAGGCCCCTTTCTGAATACTTCGTCCACGCGGACTGAAGGCTGCTAACTGTTAAGACAATTTTTGCTTAAGGTACGTTGTGGAGACGGTGAAGTGATTGCACAGTTGTTTGAACTCCAGTCCCCGTGCGAAGTAACATACTTGCAGCTTGCCTCGAGGGCGCGCAGTTCTTGGTAGGCTGGCTGAGCGGGTCCGCCTTTGTGGTGTTTTCGTTTGTGGTTTGTTCTTCGTGTTCACTCTGCAGACGCGCACGTAGTTCATGGCAACAAAGGTTTCGAGTTGTTCTAGTTTTTCCTGCTTGGCCAAAACGGCCGATTGGTCACTCGGGGATAACATGTGGAGATGTGTGACACATGGTTTCCAAGGTGCCTGAACCAACGACAATGTCCTCATTCATGAAAGCCAAGTTCAGGGTTATGTATTCAAAAAATCGAACGCATCATTCCGAGGTGAACGTCCAATCCGGGCTCCTAACATTTGGCGCCATATGGGTTGCAGCAGCAGCAGGCATTAGTGCGCCATGGAACTACACCATGATTCGCACCTTGCCTTTTGTTAAAGATTACCGTGTTGAAGCACCAGGCTACCATTGAATGCCTGTCACCACCCGAAGCAACCCACTGTCCACAAAACAAACCCTCAAGAACCCGTAAGGCGCGATATGCTCTGCTACCAGCTTTCAACCCCTCCTTGACTAGAAATGCATTTGTTGAAGCATTCGTCCAACTTTGTAAACTTTAGCTCATTGGGGCAGTTTCTTATCTGTGGCAACAGTGTAGGTAGACAAGTTGTCTTTGTGATTGGGCCCGTAGCACAGTCCTTGAGAGTAGCGCCGTCGCAAATTAGTGTACCTCAGGCTTCTTCATCGGCTGCGCTGGTGCTACGCTGCTTGGTGTGCACATCATCAGTGCTGCACGCTAAACCCTTCACCCTACACCCTGAGCCCGAGTGGTATGGTTGCCCTTTCGTTCTCGTTCAGAGTTGTGACGAGGTTGTGCAAGTCAGGCCCTGGCCCGTTAGCAAAATGTTTATGCGATATGGACGCCAGGCCTTGAGGCCTCCAATCGGCGTTGGGCATGAACGTCTTGGTTGTTGCCAAAGGCACAATGCCCCTGCCATAGGTAACTAAATTGTTCCTCTTCACCCATTTCACACAATGTATAGTCCCCCTTAAGTAGATAGAATATGGCTTTGAGTGTATTATAACAAGATCCCCATATACCCCATACTCTATCTACTTAAGGGGGACTATAAACCCTAAACCCCTAAACCCTAAACCCTAACCTCAATCATACTTTTGGGCATGGCAAGGTTCGTCACGAACCAGTTCTGGTGCTCCTTGATGTTTGCCCCGAATGTCATCGGAACGGCAAATGCCACGGCTGCCGGATGGGGCAATCTTGGCGGTGGTGCCACTTTGCGCACTATAATTAAAGATATCACTAATCCCCAAACCCTAAATATCATTAATTCTTGTAGACTTGTTTGGGCATTGTTTCCTACGTTGGCGAAAGCAATTCTATTCGCTGATGCCGAGACAAGATTTACCCAGAGCTTCATTCCGGGCCTTGTCGAACAGCGACGGTACATTGTTGTCAAAATTATGGCCCCTTTCTGTATCCCTCATATAATACGGCACCTAATATTTAGGGTACCCAAAAAGGCACCATGATTTTGACAACCACCCACATGTCTTAGGATGATACGTCCTGATGTTTACTGCAGTCGAGAACTGCGGATCGGATGCGTGTGGAAGATAGCCCTTTCCAAATTCCCAATACTACTCCCCGGAAGACATTCCCTCCAGCTCCTTTTGAGCCACTTAGGCCAGCATGCATTACTAACAGTGTCAAAGTGGCAATAGGCAATGGCAGTTACAAGATTTGTTGTTGCTTCGTTTTGCCGTTTCATCCTTGTCCAGAGTCAAACCAGATTAAGCGACACCCACGTCTCCTGGTAGAAGCATACTGGTTGCCCAAGACACGTCACAGCTATAGGAAATGCCAGAAGCCACCAAGCTTGCTTCGCAGCTTCAATCCGAACTGACATTGAGGTGACGCAAATTTTTATGATGAGTGTATTATTCAATCCCATGGTTGAGTCTGGGATTGCTCCTCGGTCAACGCCAGAAACTTTTCTTCGTGTCACGAAGTGCGGAAGCGCTGACATCTCGGTTTGGAAGTAGTTTACAAGCAAAACGCCGCACATGATTCGTAAGCGGTGCCTGGACAATTCGTTTGTAGCTACTACGTATCCTCATGGTGCCCAAGGTCACCCTTCGTTGAGCAACCCGTTTGTTAAGACGTAGGCTCCTGATACCGCGTGGCGTCTGGCCATGATTGTGCCCGCAGTGACTGGGTTGCTGTTAAGGAACTTAAATTAAGTTACCATAATGGGTATATATGGTAACTAACAGGATATCCCCAATATAGTACCCCTAAACCCTAAACCCCATTATGGGTTTCCCCAACATAGTAACTTAATTTAAGCCCCTTAAACAGCAACCCAGGTGATGTTCCTGATCGTTGCTCTGAGCCTGAAGCTCCTATGCTGGGACACCCCCACCGCCAGGCCCAAAATGAGCTACAGACGCGGTTTAGGGTTTAGGGTATAGGGTTTAGGGGGGGGGGTTAGAAAGGGGAGTATTATAGGGGTTATTAAGGGGGATACCAGGAGTTTAGACTATAGCTCAAATGTAGGAGCCTGGCTGTTTCTGCATGCTGCCCGTTCATAGCCCGTGTAGGATCATGTTACCTTCCTGGAAGTTAGATCTCTTTCTTGTCATTCTGGGGGTCGCTCCGGTCAGCAAAGTTCATGAAAAAGTGCCTGAAGCCCAAAACTCTAAAATCTTAACCCCTAAACGCCTAAACCCTAAACCCTAACCCCAAAACTGCTAAACCCTAAACCCTAAACCGTGTGAACCACTTCCCGGCCAGGCGCTTCGACGTATCCGTCACTGGAAAGACGCAGAAACCATCCATGATGGACTATTGCGTCGTGCTCAAGGATGTTTAGGGTTTAGGGCTTAGGGTTTTGGGTTTGGGGTTTAGGGTTTAGGGTTTAAGCATGTGGGGTTTAGGGATGTGCTGTAGAACCTGCATACTTACCAACATTACCGTCCCAAAGTTTTTTGAGACATTCTGGCATAGGGTACTTCGGCTAAGGCTCACAATCATAATGGTACTTATTCAGGCCCCCATGGCACGTGGTTTTGATTGGGAGAAAGGATGCAGATAGTGGTTCCAATGCCATGGTCCAGACCCTAAACCCGAAATCCCAAACCCAAAGCCCTAAACCCAAAACCCTAAACCCTGAATCCTTAACCCTGAATCCTAAACCCTAAACCCTAAACTCTATAGCAGAGGGAGGTCTCCAGGACTGATTTTGATTGCAGCCTTCCATTACATTGCCTAACCCTAAGGGTTTATCATACAATGATCATAGAGGGTTTAGGGTTTAGGATTTATAGGGTTTGGGATTTAGGGTTTGGGGTTTAAGGTTTAGGGTTAGGATTTAGGGGCTTTTAGCTACTGTCAATATTAACTTGTATTAAAGGACCCTTAACAGTGGACACAGGGATCCCTCTTGTAGTTTAGTACAGTCCCTAGCATATTTCCTAATAAGGACCCCATGTCCATAAATTATCTGGGTTTTTGGCTACAGCCCATATGCGTTGTTCTGAAATTGTGGGCCTCTTTTGGTTACAGATTATATATTACGGCACCTAATATTTATGGCCGGGGTAACAACATGGGAACCAACTTTTGGGAACTGCCCATATAATTCGGAATTCTTGTATTATGAAGCGTTCTTCAGGTTTTTGGAGTTTGGGAGTATATGAATATACATTTTATGATATGTACTTCGGACCCTTAGGGTAATTGCTTCTCGGTTTCAAGGGGAAGCCAGCTTTAAAGGTTCGACATGGCGAGTAGCATGGCTGTACGAGAACAACAAGAATCTGCAGATGTCAGGGGGCTCAAAAGGTGGGATGAAGGTAGGTGGGGTAAAGGAATTAAGCCCCAATATATTAGAATCTACAATAAGGATCCTTTAGCCCACCTAGCTTCATCCCACCTTTCGAGCCCCCTGAAGTTGGCACCATGGTTTACACGTTCGCGGTTTAGGGTTTAGGGGTTAGGGTCTATTCGAGGTATGGTCCAAACTCCTTGAGAGTTTTTACAAGGAGCTGTACATAGGGCACTATCATAAGGGGGTTATTAAGGGGGATACTAGGAATTTAGACCCTAGACCCCAAACCATATACTAGGGGTTATTGCGGGGGAGATTGGGAGTTTAGACAGCTCATTTCCCTAAACCCTAAACCCTTTGTGTGAGGACGTTCGCGTGGTTGTTATGATCGCCCAATATTCAGCGTGCTTCGGAGCAGAGTCGCGCCGGCACTCTGGAAATCTAACCGGGGGCTAGTAAGTAAGGAATATATGAGGGTTTCCGAAAATTAGGGGTTCCTTTTTGCGGGTCCCTATAATAAGGACTATAGTATTTTGGGGTCTATATTGGGGTCCCCTAATTTTGGGAAACTACCATGTATGTATATATATATATAATCGTTATAAGGATTGTATAGGCATTAGATTATACAAGGAATAGATTAGACAAGGCTTACTGGGGGGTTAGTAGGGAATAAGGGAATGTAGGGCTGAGGGCCAGGGGTTTACAGATAGTAGGGAACAACGGAATACAGGGTTCAGGACTTAGGGTTTAGGGATAGTAGGGAATAAGGGAATGTAGGCTTGAGGACTTTGGGTTTAAGGTTCGTAGGGAAGAAGGGAATATACTGTGCAAGTAAGGATTACATAGCAATTATTTTCCCGTATTCCTACTAAGCACCGAAAATCAGATTACATAAAACTGCTTTTCTAGACGAAATCATGTATTGAGGGATCCTCAACAGAGAGCCCTTGTTTTTCAGTATAGTCCCTAATATAGTCCCTAGCAAGGCGCCCATGTCCATTAGAGGATGTAGGAAATATTGACCACAGCTCATGTAGCCCCTTTCTATGGACTTCAGATCATGGGCTCCATGTCATGAGGGTAAGCATGGGTTTAGGGTTTTACGGTTTAGGCACCCCAAACCCTAAACCCCTTTTATGGTTTAGACTCATTTTGCGCATCCTTTTCGTTTAGGACTTCACACTGTCCTCCCTGAGCAAGTTAGGCAATGAACGGTCCAGTCAGAGTTATAGTACCCGTTAAGTAGATAAAATATGGCTTTGGGTATATTATAATAAGATCCCCATATACCCCGTTTTCTATCTACTCAAGGGCGACTATAAGAACAACTTGCAACCGGCTGTTGCCGGACATTGTTCATGATGGATGAAATCCAGCCTGAATTTTTAGATCCCAAACTTCCGGAATGACGGTGGTACTGTATACGTAGGGTCATGCAGGATTTCATCCCTGCCATAGAACTTTCTGTATACCCATCCACCGTTTCATAACCTCATGTGTCCATCAGCAACCTTAAGCACCTGCACTGAGGCAAACCCAGCTTGATGGGCCTGAAGGTTAGGCATTCAACAGTCATAATACCTGTTGTAGTATTACTGATAAGGATCATAATAGTAGCAAAAGTCATATTGACTGTAGTAATTAGCACTAATAAAAGTAGCACGAGGAAGAATTGCACTAGTAATACGTAAGAATAGCAACAATCGTAATAACCCTAGTAGAAATTGTAGCAATACAATCAGACTCCACAAGTTGTTGCCCATGAGTAGGGTCAGAAGGGCTCTGAGCAGCATGAAAAATTAATGAGCCTGACAGATCAAAGGTCCCTAAACCCTATTTAATTAGGGTTCAGGGTTTAAGGTTTTAGGGTTAAAGCCTATAATTTCCCTCCTGGCACGTTTGTAGGCGGATGTGGGTATACAGTAGCCTATTCTAGCAATGGGCCCGTGTTTTTGAGAGACGGTGCCCCCGCCCCATGAGTAGTCAGCGCATTTTGGCCAGCCAAACCATCCGGAACTGCGAGTCTTTGCGGTGTAGAGTGTAGGCATAACACTTACTACGTAAGATATTTTCGTTGTCTTTTGTGACAACGACGCTTCTCCTGAAAGTTGTGTAACCAATTCTTTCAAAAATAGTTAAAGTGCACAGGCTTGAATTTGAACGCCCAAGCTAGCTAACAACCGATTCACACCATCTATCAGTTTTCTAGTTTAACAGTGAGCCCAGCTTGCCTCAGTTTTGTAGTTTAATAGTGAAGCCAGGTTGCCCCTGAGTAGTGGAGTCGCTTACAATACCGCTTTAAACCAGTTGGAATACAACACAGATCCAGAACGGTTTAGGGTTTAGGGGTTTAGGGTTTAGGGACCACTCCACGTTGATGAAGTCATTTGCCTTTAGCTGGTACATATAAGTTGTCCTGTCAGTTCGATTCCACCTCTGTCCTTTAGACTGGGGCAAATCCCTGACGCGGAAGCTTCATGCTACTTGACATGTTTCAGCTAATTGAATGATTCAGCTTTTTCTCGCATCATGCTGCGAGCGCGTGCTTGTGCAGAAAATTCATCACAGCGTTTTCAAACGTCACACAAGACAACCCAGATTCACGAAGTCTTTGTCACGGTTTATCTGCATTCTACCGATTTTGAGGGCAGTGCAATCCACTGTGAGATCCTGTACTTCCAGGCATGGTCATGCAGTTGCGATGGCGCAGGTTTAGGACAAAGCATTGAAGCCGTCTACCCCAAAGGAAAACAAGCCAGTAGCTCTTGTATGTTTTGATTTCCTTGACATTGGGTTGTCCTGTACCCTTCTGCCTAAACGCCTCAGCTCCGTGAAGCTACTTCACATTTTGTTGGTGTTCGATTCTTGGGTAGACGAAATTCACTCAAGCCATACATACCTGCTGCTGATCCTTGAGGGTAGAGCTTGGAATTGCCCATGTTCGGTGCTAGCTCTGGCCCTGCCTTTGCACGTGCAGCTGCTTACAGGTCAGAGCCAATTTACAGGTTGACTCATAAGCCGACTCTGCTGGCAAGTCCACATTTAGCCAACCGCAACGCAAAACACAGAGCAGTCAAAGGTCGTGAAAGACAGGATATGATAGGCTCAATGAGTTTCTGGCCCATCCACAGCGTTGGCCTTCTAGCCACACATTACGCCACGATCATCGGTGGGGAGAACACTGCAAGTACACCTTTGCAGAGGGCTCACCTGGCTTCCAAAAGGCCTCAAGTCCTGGGGGCAGGGCCACTAGAGCTTTGGGGGCCCAATTTGCAGCTGGTGTGACCACAGCCCTGGCGTCAGATGGCTGCCTTAAAAGCGACCCCCTCTTCCGCGAAAGATAAAAAAAAGTCAACCCCAACCAGGCCCAAGTTGCAGCTGGGTGTCATTCAAAACCTGGCGTCAGATGCTTGCCTTGGGAAGAACGGTCAGCTTCTTTCGTCTTTTTCAGACCATCCCACACACCCCGCAGCACAAGTGACAATGCAGAAATCCGGAAAAGGGTGGGGCCAGGAGTCTGGACGTTGGGGTCGGCAGGCCCCCGGCCTGTCCAATCGATGGCGTGGAAGTTGGCTCAGATGGCTGCTCCGGATGTGGGTTCCGTTCATGTTTGCGTTTTGTATGGGAGAAAAGAAACAAGGATGTTTACCTTTCCTCCGTCTGTTCAAACCACCAACACGCCCGTAAAGGCTGGCGGACTCTGAATTCAACCGGTCTCAAACAGTTGCTGTTCCACAACCAGTGGCAACATGAATGTTCGCAAGATCAAGAGTATCCGTCCATTTCTCCTATCAGTATATCCAGAAGGTTCCTTTGTGTGCGGAGATCGTACTTTAGGGGAGTCGCTGCAATTGCGAAAGAAAGTTGTTTTTGTTGCAGGGGAATTATAGGGGGTGGTTGAAGCGTTATTTCCTGATACGGATGCACGGCTGTTACAGGAGCAGCATTCCCGGAGGGTGCGAAACCGGACGTCTACCCCGGCCTTTCGTATAACAAAAACCATTTCTGGCAGTCACATGCACTTGCAAAGCCCATGGATGCATCACATCTGCTTTTCAGAGTTACTGCTCTGGCACGAGCTAGAGGGTCGACATAGTTTGGAGCCAGTTCGCATTTACAGTTGCGCTTCCTGCGTGCATGGCAAGCACTTTCCGCGAAAGAAAGCTTCGCACATTTCAACTTACTGAATCTAGGCAGTTGTTGTTCCCCGGCATGTTCATGCAGTTGTGGTTGCACATGTTAGGATGGATTCTGGACATCATTCCTTCGGATTTGGGTGGAGGAAAACAAGTATCGTTTTGTTGCTTGTGGTAGGCTTACAGAAAATCTTGCATAGTACAAACCTTTGACCGTAGTGAAAGAAATCTTGCCGAATCACGCGAAAGTTGTGAGCAAGGAAGATATTTGAATTCAAGATGCCAGCGATGGTCACAAGAATGTTTGCAAAGGAAAGCTGGATTTCCTGCAAGCTTTCTTTGCCGAGCACATCTGAAATGTTACCCTTGCCGAAAACATGTTGTTGGTGTACTTTGAAAAAGTTAGGTGCTGTCATAACATGTCGCAAATCTGCACAACCGTCTGCATGATTACAGTCACTGTAGAAAATTAACGCTTGGATCATTCAGAAACACTGGTCCACTCGGATTGCACGAGTTTAATTACGTTGAATCTGACCCGACCTCCAGCTAAGGTCTTCGCTTGATTGTGAACATACCTGTTCAAACAACTTTTCCTGTAAGAAACGTTTTTCTTAAGAGAGCTATGATACCCTTATTGTTTTAACATTGCAAGTCGTTTAGTGTATCCTCCAGCCAAGCCTTGCCCCAAGGTAACGGATTCAGATTTTGTGAAATGAAACTGCACTTATTGGTTCCTGACATGGAAGCATGACTTGTGACATGCAGTCCTGCATTTCCAAATCTCTGGGCGCATCGTTGGTAAAGGCTGAGCAAGCTGACTTGTCTAATTTGGGCCGTTTGGGGGTGAGAGGTCTGCTTTGCAGGAGCAACGTTTTGTTTTGGTTCGCAAACGCAAGAGCTATCGCTGTTTACTGAGAGGATTTTGTGCACTCATAGGCTCATTGTGCTTTCCTTTTGCAAAGGAGCCCAAGGAATTGGCGATTTGTGCCTGTCATCTTTGCACAGTCTTCTTTGTATCGTTCTAATTTTTCGGATGCTCCCCGAAGTCCCCCTGTCTCATTAGCAAGTTATTGAAAAAACACTACCGAGGAATTAGCGATGAACAATCAACTTGCGACGCATTTTCGCACCTATTTCCAGATGGCAGCTGCGGATGCTTCCGCATTGGCAGGCTCCTTCGGCCTCATGAACCTTTTTGCTCGCTCGCTCGGCGGGATAACTAGTGACCTGCTCTTCAAGAAGTTTGGTTTCCGTGGGCGCATTTGGGCGCAGTTCTTGTCCCTTTTTTTCGAGGCGGTGTTCCTTTTCTGTTTCGGATTGGTGGACAATAGTCAGCCGTGGTATGTGGCTTTGGCCGTGCTGCTGTGCTTTAGTCTGTTCGTGCAGATGGCGGAAGGTACTAGTTATGGCATTGTACCTTTCATGAATAAGCAACAGCTTGCCATAGTTTCAGCGCTGGTTGGGGCTGGCGGAAACCTTGGTGCGGTGATCGCCGGCTTTGGCTTCTACCGCCCCATTGAGGACCGCGTGCTCCAGCAAACTACCTTGAAGACGCTCTTTGGGTTGTGCACCCTAGGATTGCGTGTGGGCCTTCCAAGCTTAAGATTTTCCTGACAACCGCTGTTTGCACTGCCCATGAAAGAACAAAAACCTTCTTGAAAATAATCTCATGCAGCATGCAGCTTCTATGTTGGTAGACATTTTGTTTAATAGATTGTTGTTGTATAACCTAGGATGGTTGCCCACGTTGGTTTTGATTTCGTCCGCCTCGGGCGTGAGAATTGCTGCCCGTGTCATTTTTTTCTCAGCATCCTTTGCCGTACATGTTACAAATAGAAAAAACTGGGCAACTTGTGGTTTGACTGTTGTTAGGTTCAAGAATACATATATTATGAACATTGATTTTTTCGCGTGGTAAGCAGGTGTCCATAAGAATGGAAACATTCCAGGCGTGGCTCGCTTTTGGGCACGTGGTTTGTACTGTTGCTGAGTGCAATTCAAGGGTTCCGGCAGGTGTAAGCATGTTGTTGTGCAGGATCCCTTGCTGCCCTTCCAGATTCACGCTGGCTATGTGATGTTTTGGACTCTGCTGACACCGTGCTACTACTGGGCAGAGCACGGAGGCATGTTCAGCGGACCTGCAGTGAAAGCGGCGTCCAAGCCAGAGGGGGAGACGTCCGTGTGAAACAGCTGGTATGAGCCAGGTAAAGACTCTGCAGTTGCACAGTCCCGGCCCATCGTGGCCTGCATGCTCTAGCTAGAGTACAAACGAACCAGAAGAGACAATTGTTCACTGGTTGAGTTTGTTGTTTTTTCTTCCAGCTCTTGGCTGATGAGCCGAAAGGCAGATGATGATCACTGTCCATGGCCATCAGTCATGCGGTGGGTTGTCCAAAACAGAACATTATTCTTTCAGACCCAGTACAGCACCTAACCTTTCAACCGGAACAATGGGTTTCGGATTTTGGAAGCCACCCAATCACAGGGGCAAGGCTGGCTGTTCCTTCAAATGGTTGACCGTTTGATTCTATCCTCATACTGTCATAGTCGCCCTGCAGTAAGCCTGTAGAATCTCCTCCATGAGCAATTTCCTACAAGGCAGCCTATTTGCTCAGAGAGCTTTCGACTGAAAATTCCGTTTGACTTGTGTTACAGTCCTAGCATGGAGTGCAGGACAAGAACGACAAATACGTTGCGTGCTGGTTTGCGCCCCTAAGGTGGCCTGCACCAGTCACGAAGCGGTCCCTATCTGTTTCAATTTTGGCATCTTGGCAGGAAAAAGGACATGGTTCGCGACGCAGCGCATTAATGGCTTCTCCTAATCTGAAGAAACCTCCCTTTCCTCCGGGCTTTCATGTTTCTCCCCGAGAATTGGTGGGCATAAGACAGATTCAGCATCCCATTGGGGGAATGTCGGAAAGGCATTTTGTGATATACGTCGGGCCTGGGCGGCCCGGATGAAGTCGCATGACGCCTCTACATGCCACATCACGCTCTCTATGGTTCCTATGGTAGCAAAGATCGCCGCATGTAGTAGGAGCAGCAGCAGAAGTAGGAGTAGTTTTGGTAGTCGTGGTAGCAGCAGCAGCAGCAGCAGCAGCAGCAGCAGCAGCAGCAGTAATAGTAGTCGTCGTCATAGTAGTCCCAGGATTGCTGATTCGACAGAATCATCATGCAAGCAACTCTTTCGTGATTTGTCCATAGACGTCTAGCAAACTTCCTATTCACAGCATGTCAGGCTCAGCACCCCATCTTGAAGCGGAGCGTGAAACCTCCGCTTTGCAGCCTGGTTCAAGCCCGCTGCCCGCCTTCGTCGCATTCGTTCCCATCAAGTTCTGTGGACGTCTTTGAGGAGTGGATTCAGGGTGAAGGTTTGGGGTTTCTAGGTAAAGCCTAAGAGGCAAGACTCATATTCTTCCTAGAAGGTCCCAAGCGTGGATCACCCTATATGGTATTATGACACTGGAAGGAACAGTGCTTCGGGCATCCCAAGTGGTGCAAGATTCCCCCTATTAACAGTAGGATCCCAAATTTGACGTGTTGGGGGGAACCACCGACATTCTGTCAACAAAAAGATGTTTTCCAACTTTCCTCATTAAGTCCATCAACCCTAAAGTCTACATACAACGTACCTGGTGGCGCCTGTGGAAGTTGTGTTAGAAGTGGGGTTAAAGAGGATAAGCATGGTTACTGGTCCCAGAAATACTAGTTGTGGGACTTACCTCAGGGTTTCCAAGCATGGGGGGCCCCAATATGGAGCCCCAAAAACTATCATGCTCATTTATAGGGACTCCCAAGCAGGGACTCCCCCATTTTCAGGATCCCCCCATGATCCCTACCTAGACCCTCCAATGTAGTACCTTTTTGGCTGTCCTAATAAGAATCCTAACCCAAAAACCATACCAAACCCAAAAAGGAACTACATTGGAGGGTCCAGGTAAACCCTGAAGCCGAAAGCGTGATGTAGGCAAAGCAAGGCTAAATTCGTGGACTTAGGGTTTAGAGTCTTGAGTTTACCTAGACCCCCCAAAGTACGTAGAATAATGGCCTTTTGGGCTATATTTAAAGGTGTTGTCACTCTGAGGCTCCATGTAGATATTATTTGTAGACTTTAGGGCCCCTAACCCTAAGCCCCAAACCCAGTGTAGCTATGTTTTAGAGGCGTCTAGCCCCAGGGCCATGATGAATGGTTCTGAATCTTGCGGTTTAGCGTCGTTAGTCCTTGCTTGTTTGCTGATCCTAGTAGAGGAAGTCTACCCAAGGGACCTTACTGCAGCAGACCATCATAGCAAGAAGCAGAAGCAAGATATACCATAATCAAGCAGGTCGCAGAGAATAGGCGCGGCATGTTGGGTTGCACACCTGTTTCAAATCTACGCAGTTGCTTTGCTGTTGCTACAGAACAGGTTCAACCCAGAACGAACCGAACATGTAGTAGAATCCGTGGCCAAGAGCGAGCCTGAAATCAACATCTAGTTTGGAGACGGCAGCTGCAAGCTTATGGTGAGGGCCTTCACAAACAGGGCCCCCCGAGAGAGCCCCCAACAATTAGAGCGTGATACGTCCACCCTTGTATTACTCGTAGAACCCATAGCTCATGTATCTATACATATATATATATACGCCTTATATGTACTGTGAGCGCTCCCATTTGAACCCCCCCCTCCCAAGATGGTCTTCAAATTGATGTTATTTTGAGGCTGGCGATTTAGGATCTGATGTGTGAACTCTACAGCCTGGCCCCTCAGCATTTCAAGGTTCATGGCTTGGGCTTTCACTGGAGTGCGCGTTTAAAAGAACGCCTGTAGACTCCCAAAAGGGGACCTTGGTGATCCTGCTATAATCCCAGTATCTCCAGCGTTACCCCAAACCCTAAAACCCCCAAACCCCCAAAACGAGGAGATGCCCGACTTCAAGCTTGCAGTTGATGAGAACAACAAGGCCCCGTATGCTGAAGCGTATAGGTGGTAGAGGTTCATGTCACAGGTAGGATGTAGGGTTAGGGATTTAGGGTTTAGGGTTTAGGGTAGGGTTCAGAGTTTTGAAGGGTTTAGGGCTGATAGGGCTGCAGGTTAGGCGTTACGATCCGGAGAGGCCTTGAATTGAAGGGTAGGAGTCCAACTCCCCCTGAACTTAAACCGTAAACCTAAACAGTAACAATGACGGCACATGGACCGCGAAAAGTCTCAGACCCACGGGGCTTTACGATTCTCATTGTTAGTGTTATTATTGTTTTTTGTTTAAGGTTTGGGGTTTGAGATGTAGGGTTTAGAGTATGATGGTTAGGGTACCTTTGCTAAATCACAAGTCGGCGACGTTCTTGTGTGTAGAGGGGAGAAGGCGTTGACATTTCAAGCCAGGTGTGCGTTTTAATCGGGGAGTGGGGGTGCTTAGCAGGGAATGGGCTACGATTCCCATGGTAGACGCATTCTACTCCCCAATGCTAGCCAGTCTCAATACGAAACTTCTCCATTCCCTCCAAACATCGACCATCCAACTCCTGAGTCTTAAATTCCCAATACCAATGCCTTGCCTGGGGCTCAAGTGACCTTCATTTCTGGGATGGCACGCAAGGATTGCACAACGGGGCTCTCAACTTGTCAGTTCAAAACAAACCTTTAACCTACCACCCTAGACCCTAAACACTCAACCGTACACCCTTACCTACCCAGATCGGAATCGGGTCTACATTAACCTATCAAAAGCAGGCCACAGAGCTTCCACTGCTCCGTGTTTGCGGAACAGTGCAGCAGCTGGCCTCACCTCAGTGTTTAGGGCTTAGGGTTTAGGGTTTAGGTCTTGGGATTTAGGGAAAGCTTAAACCCTAAACTCTAGGGTGCGAGGTTCAGGGCAGCTTCAGGTTCAGGGTTTTAAGGTTTAGGGCTTTAGAACCCTAAGCCCTAAGGTCTTCGGGTTTATGCTTCCGGCTGGAGGGCGTAGGGTTCATGGTTCAGGATTCATGAATGTGCGGGTTCCAGGCTCCTGGAAAGAGCGTAGCTCATGATAATGGTCTACTTGGGGATTTCCCAAAATTAGGTGTACCCTTTTTGTGGGTCCCAATAATAAGGACTATAGTATTTTGGGGTCTACATTGGGGTCCCCCTGTTTTGGGAAACTACCACTTTCCCCTAGCCTCCTATTGAACTAGGGTTTAGGCTGTTTGGGGGTTTGAGGGTCGCGGCTGCTAAGGCCCCAGGAGGTTGAGGCCTAAGGTCTGGCAGGGCTTCAAGTTCAAATGTTGTCAGTTTACCTACACCCCCCAAGTACCCTCTATAGACCCTAGGTATCCCCAAATAGAAGCTACATAGACCCTATTTTAGGGTACTTGGGGGGTCTAGGTAGGGTTCAGGACTTTAGGGTTCAGGGTCAAGGTTCAAAGAAGATGCGGTAGGGCTTACTGGGCAATTTAAAGTGACCTCACCCGATCTCACCCTGAATGGTGGTTTATATAGGGAATGATACCAAAATGGCCGTAAATTAGGAATTCAAATAATTCTCAATTACCTTGGGCGTAGTCCCGTGAGCTGAAATGCTTCCAACCCTAAACCGTTAAATTAACTGCGCATGTGCAGTTGGCACCTAGCTAACATTCTCACTATAACTACGCCTTCTGCTTAGGGTTTAGAGTTAGGTTTCCTTAGCCCAAGTTGTCCAACTGCCCAAACAATAATATTGGCTTTGGGTAAGAGAGCTGTCCATATGATTTTTGCACATGTTTAACGTGGGGGTGGGGAGGGGGGGATAGTATCAAGGTCCAGGCGTATCTTACCTGGTTTTGGGGCGCAGGGATTTTCGGGCCAGGTGAGGAAAAGCTGAACCAGGTAGTATCCACCGTCTCTGAGAAGTATTATCATCGATCACAACTATTGTTTCGCTATATACCACCATACCCTTTGTTGAGGGATTGTGGGAATAAGGCTTTTCTGGAACTAGGTCCGCTTGACCATTCAGATAGTGCTATTTGAAACCTGAACCCAAATTACTTGGGTGCTTTGAGCTTAAGGGTAGTAAAAAGGGGATAAAGACTTACGACTTCATACATTTCGAGCGAAGTGTGCTGGCAGATCCCACGAAGGCTAGGACTCTAAGCCCTATACCCTAAAGCTCACCCTAGGAACCCTAAAGCCTAAACCTTACCCTGAGGCTCCTAATTGGATTTCTCGGGGAAGGTTTAGACTTGTGGGT